GACGAAGCAGAAGTCGAGGCCGCAACCTACTTCGCCGATGAAGCACTGAAATGTCTAGCCTACGTTTCTTAGGCCAAGGCTTATGAAAGGGAAACTCTAACAAGGCAAATGGAATTATTATTGCAATTTTCAAGACGTCATCATGGTTGATGGGTATCTGCCTGTAAGCCTTATCCAAGTCATGCACAGGAAAAGGCGTGGCAGGCGGGATTGCGATCGTTAAAGTCCTAGATGTGTGAACGAGGTACCTGTCCGGAATGTTGGGTGCGTTGATAGTTCCTGTCGCCACCCAATGGTCTTCGGCACAAGTTGAAGGGGCGAGGCCATGGGCAGTAGGAGCAACGGGCGATGTCTTGAGGAGTCTTGCTTCAAACTCTGCTTTGGCTATGAGCATGGGATTAGGAGCAAGGTGATTGGTGCGGCAGGGAGCCGCTGGTCTTGGAGTGGTCCTGATGTAGACCGCTGTCGAATGAAACACGTCCAGCCAGGAAACTCAGCGAGAATGGCATGGTACAGGAAGTGATTGCTGACGCTGAGTACATTGATGCTTGGCTGTTGGGCGGTCGTTTGCTGGCTTGTGGTGGAACTGTCCCGTTGTCGCTTTTTTAAGCTTGTCGTTGCGGCAGTCCGGAAGAAGGTTGTAGTGAGCCAAAAATTCTCAGCGGTGAATGGCTCGGCGACGTCGGCGATGACATAGCTTCCGTAAAGGACACAGAGTAAGTTCTTGAGCTGGATGTGCAGGTTCATTGAGCCATACGTCTTGAACGTAGACTGGTACGCTGCGCTGAGCTCGAAAGGTGTCGGCGTGCGAGGTGCTTGAAGGGTTGCGCGTAACAGCAAACGTCGGAACCGCTGTCGACTAGGTAACGATGTTTCGTGATATAGGTCGGTGAACAAGATGCGGTGGCCTCAGGGTTGGCAGCTTGCGGCTGTCTGTACGAGCTGCAGCCGTTGTAAATTTCCGCAAGTCCCACAGTAACAGGGCCATCGATATTGCCAGGCTCTTTCAGCAAAGCGTCAGTGTAGCACGGATCTTGATGTCCGGTCGCAGCGATGAGGTAGTATTACGGCTGTGGCTTTGCGAATGGCGGCGTTGTTGCATCAGAAGATGGCGTAGTTGAATAAAGGTGAGCCGACGATTTTTGTAGTCGATGTAGCGCGTGAGATCTGTGGTGTTATGCGGTGTGGTGACAGGCCTGGATGGTGGGCGACAACTGCGGCAAGAATACCTCGACGACGCGATCGTCAAGTTCGTCCAGAGGTCGCCTGGCGTAAGCCTGCCGAATCGCCTGGTTGTGCGACGGGATTCGTTAGAGCCAAATTGATCGCATGAAGGAATGTCTAACCATGTTGCCCACGAGCTTATGTATGTGTCGCAGGATCTGCGAAAGTTTGCGCTCACAACCTCTGCGGACTGCAGTTCTCGTATCTTCTGTTCTTCCGAGAGTGGCAAGCAACGGATAATTGCAAATTTTTAATGTTCGTGCAAGTTCGCCATAAGTGAGTAGGCAAGAATATCCTAGACCTCGTTGGCATAACGTGCGTACAAGTGGGCGATGACGTAATTGTAGTGTATCTGGTGTTGCGTGATGCGCGCCAAAGGGAAAAGGGTCTCAACCTGGGTAAATTGAACCACAAGCAAGTCGATCAAAGCGGCGGAAGCTTGAAAGAAACACGCCAGGAAACAGCGTGCGGGATAGCTTCTGTCGAAGCTCGGACGTTCTCAGTTGAGCTGCTAGGCAAGGCCTCGTTTACAGAGGCGTTGTGAGATTGTTGCTGCTTCTGGGTCTCCAGTTTCTGTTTAACTTGTTGTACTTGAAAGCAGAGAGTGGTGAAGGCTTCTGACTTGGCCATAGCGTTGACGAATTTCATCATAAAACGCGACAATCGTTTATTACCGTGGTAGCAGTAGTGGGGCAAGCCTGCCGCCGCTGCACTCGAAAAGGTTTATGAAATAATCAGGGAAACCGAACTTGGCAGCCTTTCCCAATAAGGTCGATCACTGGTTTGCCTGTACTAAATGGTGCTTTGGTTGATTGAATTGTAGTGTTGTCTTTTTGAGGCGCGCAGGCGTATGTGAACGTCTTCAACTTTTGTGTATTGTCATCACAGCATACCCATAAGCTCATTGACCTGGAATTTTTCTGTCTCTTTCTCTCCTCTTTGCTCTCTTTCTCTCATCTTTAAATTGCCCTACCCATTCCTCCAGCATAGGGTAGCATACCGGTCATGTACCTAGTTAACCTCCTTGCCCTCTTTTGTGTTGTTCTTGTCCAAATGTTGTCTAATTCTGTTAGCAATTACCTTTCTAAATAGCTTGTATAGTATGGAGACCGCGGTCAGCTTGCTATCTGTCTTATACAAGCTTGGATGAGCCAGTGATTCTTTAATCCTTCTCATTCTCTTTCTCATAAATTAAAATATTAGCATTCTGCCAAGAGGCTGGTACCCTTCCCCGTCAGGACACTCTTCATCAGCAGGCTGGCTAATTCTGGACTGCAATCGGTCTTCCGTTTTTCAGCAGATATGATATAACTGATTCTCAGCAGCAGTTTCACCACTTTGCCCCGCCGCGGTGGTATAGTGGCTAAGAAACCCTCAAGTTGCGTAACCGAATTTCGGTGGTGGCGGCTTCGTTTTCGAGGCGAAAATGCTGTAGACCCGTGTTCCTAAATTTGGGGGCACGTTAAAAAACTCCAGGTGGTCGAAAAGTTCCGAAGCCTTCCACTGCGACGTCTCTCACAATTATATAGCGGTTTTCGAACGATAAACCCCACGTATCAATAAATTCAGTTTTGCCCATTTGCAATTCCTTCTAGGTTTTCCTGACTTCTGTCATTACTGGTGGGGGGGGGGGGTGTCGCCTGGGTTACTGCAAGTTCTTTCATTTTGGTCGTGGTTGTCCTGGCTACTGTAGGGATCTTCACTAAACTCCTTCGCTGTTTTAAATTTTAAATATCCGAACCATATTGGTAGTTACTTTGCCTTCCTTGTTTCTTAGTGGATCCATCTTGCTTTGCTCATTCCAAGTTTCCTCTTCACCGCTGCCACGCTTGCTAAGTACTTTAGAGCATGTTCAATTCACCCTTTGACATCGTATCGGCAAAGCACAAAAGTTAAATGCGTTCTTACAATTCCAGTCGAACGTTCGCTGTACATTGATATAAAACAGTTTGCCACTTGGTTTTTGTCAGCAATAGCACTGCTTAACGTAAGGAATCCACATTGCAGCTTGCTTCTATGGCTCCATTCCGACGGCTGTCATCATTATTTATTAAACGAGTCATTGTGGTCATAGATGCGTGTGGTAGCTTTAGCAATTTAAAGTAACAGCGGAACCGAGAAGACGAGGTGACAGCCAGGAAAGCTTGACTAATAGAGCGCCAAATTTACATTAAGGTAACCTACTCGCGCAGTGTTCGTGTTAAACACCACTGCCCGATGATAGAGGATTGTAAGGGACGTCGCGCTTTCGCTATGGGCGGCCGCGATTGTTCAAGGTGCGAACCTACGTGCGGAACGTGGAGCTCAAGCCAGACCACTAGACGTAGCTGGTGGGCGTCGCAGACCTTTTTGTTCTGGGTGGATGATGTGCACGACGAATGCTATGAGCTACGGTGTCTTAAGGCGTTCACACAAGTGCACTTCTATATCATACGAGCCGAATGAAACGGATGCTTAGGAACGACGTATTGAAGGAAGTAATGTGCAATACCAAAGTCAGGATGAATTACGGCACCTCACCGAGAACGCTTAGAGGATGCGTTTTAATTAATCATAAAAGGTATGTAATCATGCGCAGTGTAATAAAAAAAAGTTACCGTGACACAGTGGATAGTGAGCACGCATCTGTTGTCACCATTCATCAAATCCCACTGATGCAATTTTTTTGTCTTTTGATCATGCGTATTTTTTCGACATAAATTTTGTGACGTAAATACGTCACTTAAATATTAGTAGACCTCGGCATAAAAGACTTTCGTGGTAGAAAAGAGAAACCTTGTTATGCTAAGTACAGGTACTTCATATTGCTTTAGGCCTAGTGCGTAGTGACTACGACTTCTTTTCCTAATAAGATTTAGGTATATATCCCGTATATGTATGTAATTCATAAATTGCTTGTATAATCAGTGAAATTGGAATAATACATGTGCAGGCATATCTCGGAAATACCAAATTGCACTCTTTTCAACATTGAGTAGTAATAACGTTCTAGCTTTTTTTCGCATGTAACAAAAGCACTGGTAATATGAATAATAACACGTGACTATGCCGCCGCTTACAGGTGCCTTACAGTCAGCATGTTTGAGGACACACAATTCTAGGATGATGTGCGCTGCTGCCTAGACAAGTGTCATGCGTGGCAAGAAAGCAGCCTGTAAAAGCGCCCAACAATATTGCATTTACTCATTTGCATTTTGTTGCTGTGGTGATTGTTGCAGATGCAAGACTAATTTTTATTTTCACTGCTGAGTTAATTAGTAGCATAAAAGAGGTCAGATAGTGAAAATTCTCAGAAAAACACATGACCGCGATGTGAAACAAGATTTCACTGGGTGAAGCACGTGAACTAGACGGGCAAGGTTGGTCTTTTATTAGTAATTAAACGGAAAAAAAACCTTACTTTTCCTAGTTTTTCAATATTTTCATGCGTTAGTACTTATTGATAATAACGTATAAAATGTGATCGCGAATTTACCTGTAACAGTTTATGCCTTTGGTTACCCCTGTTCAGTATAAGTAATGAAAAAAAAATAAAACAGGAACTACCTAAGTACCCGTTCAATGCGGCTGCTAGGTAAACGTTCTCACAAATATGAATAATTGTCATTTACGTCCACCTATCAATACTAGCTACCAAAATGTTAACCAATCTAAACCAACATTGACAGGTAAATTGAAAAACAGAATAAAAAGTGTGGAAGAACTTATAAACCAATAATACCTTCTTACGCTTCAAATATTTATACGGCATTCAAACGCACTGAAAAATAACTTACCTGTTTGATATTCACACCAGCTGCAAAAATCATGATGTCACCTAAAATAATTACCAGTATGGTTGTGAGTGTCTCAGCTTGCATGCCCGTTACGTTAACTGTTCGTGATGCTTCTAAGCACCCACTGTGAAGCTTATTCTAAAGAACAGCTTGTTGAGAGAAAAACGCGGCCACATTAAATTTTTGTCTTTATGCGAAATTGTTACGCAGATGTATAGCATTGTTCCGTTCATTGTGTTCTTTGCGTTGACTTTCGAATATTTATAGCTCTCTGTGTAATAACGGCAGAAGCTCCGACCTTTGGAAAGTACGAGCATGAATTATTGTACACGCACACGACGAGTAAGTAATTTCCACGACCTGCTGCTAGCAGAATGCGGCGAAAATGTATTATTGTGCTGAAAAACGGAAAACATAAAGCGACTGCCAGAAAAGTTATTAATTCAGGCTTCGATCTGTGAACGAGAACATTTTTTTATTCATTGAGGAAGCTTTCTTTCTTGGATATTCTTGTGAAATTTCTTGTAAGTTGATTCTCCGAGCTTGTAGTTATCTATTTACATAGTTCATAATGTCACCGACAACTCAGGTCGTTCTTGAGATCTCACTAACTGCAGAAATAATGGTTTGCAAGGACCAACTTGCGGTAAAAAATATACGTTATCTTGCAGCCAATTGCTTCTTATATGGACTTTCATAACGTAATGGGTTACACAGGGACGCCGTATGTACATGTGAAAACTAGAATATTCAAAAGAATCTATGTGGTACGAGGAATGAAAATTTCAATGAGGAGCTAATTTTGATCAATCTGTTGTTACAAACCAATGATGGTAAAGAAAAACAAAAAAAGACCAAACGTAAAAAATTCAAGAGCTCCGTGTAAGTGGTGTAGACTGGAAACAAAATTAGCCTTCCACACATTGGACTGGGCACACTGCCCGTCACGATACGAATTACATTTGGCGCGCCGCAGTGTTGGAAGGCTGTTCATTTTGTAATCAATGTCGCTGACACCTATAAACGTTGCCATTAAACATAATTTAACCCAGCGCAAGGTTGCGTGCACACAAGAAAAAGAGGAGGACAAATCACAGCAGTGACTCACACCTGAATTTTGATTGGGAAACATGAACGAAAAAGGAACACTTCAACCTTCATACTCATGTGACCACACTAACAAAAAAGGCAGAACAGTGGACATTCTCAACAATGAAAAAAAAACAACACAAACCTTGATACATCCCCCATGTACTCTCCAACAACATAAAAGTCAAGGTAGCGTGCTATCTAAGAACCCAACCTCAATCTCATGTAGGGCTGTAGAAAGCACGCAAAGGCATTGTTCGTTCTTTTTGTTGTTAATACGTGCTTTAATTATTTTCCTTTTTGGTTCGACCTCCGTGGGTCGATGGAACTTTAGCTTCATGCAAGATAAACGTGCCATGGCACTGCTTGCCATGGTGAGGCACATGTGAGTATACATTCCATTGGATAGAACGGCTGCGTTGCGACAGCCTATTGTTACTGCATGTACTTGTTCTTTTTTCATTGATCAAAATGTCAGCTGATCTGCCGTTTTCTTGTCTTAGCTTGGTCAAAAGGGTTCGAAGGCTGAAGTGTTTCTTTCCCGTTTGTTTTCAAATATCTATTCAGTTGCGAGTGAGAGCTGCGGTTTCTGCCCTCTTTTGTTTTTATTTTTTGTCCGAATAGTTGTGCGCTGTGTTAACATATGTTCAAGTACTGTTACCAAATGGCCCAGCTGTCAGTCCACCTGCAAAACCACTGCCGTCCACTAACTGCACCTGAATGAATAAAATCCTCCCAGACTTTTTCTACCTAAAAACACAGCAAAATAGACGAAAAGAACGAAGAAACACACAGGACTTGCACTTACTAACAAGTCACTGTTTAGTGCCTCGTTGCAATATATTGGACAAAATTGTGAAAGCAGGTCAAGTGGAACTTGAAGCTGTTTTTCATGGTACGATGGCTTGAAGCTGCCCATCGCGAAGAATAAAATGATAGAATGCACCTAGACACATGAATGTACTGATTGATATTGGATGATTGAATGGCGCAAAACCAACATATAATTATGAGAAGTGTCGTAGTGGAGGGCTCCGCAAATTTTGAACACTTGGGGTTCTTTAAAGTGCACCCAAATCTGAGCACACGGGCCTACAGGCACTTTGGACGCATCAAAGACAATTATTCTCCTCTTAGCTTTGCACAATATACCAAAAATGGATTCACTATCTTTAATGTGCCTACAGGTAAATTCTCAAAAATTTTAATCTTGGCGAAAAAACAGATTCTCCTGAATATCTGACGAGTATCTTGGAGTTTGACGTGACCCGTTTCCTCACTTTTATTCGTCATACTGCATTTAAACTCACGTGTAAGTAAGTGCTTGAACTGTGTGTTTCTTTGCTCCTCTCGTCTGTATTGTGCGGCAGTTACATCTTACAATGCATGACGAACTAGCTCGACGAACAGACTTTTAATGGGCCCCAGCAGCGAAACGCTAAGAACTTGGTTATTCATGTAACAAACGCTGCAACGCAAGAAAAATTGCGAGCCAACGAGTGTTCTGCCTCTCTATTAGTGTAGAGCCTGAATCAGTAGACCTTGACGTTTCAGTTTCCGTGCGCAAGTTCATAGAAATAAAGAGATTCGAATCAACCAGTCTTACAACAGAGAAAAGAAGAGCCCGAAGGTCTGACGAGGACACAGGATGAAGAAGTCACAACAGGCATCATGGCCATCATCATCATTAACTTAGGTTCGCCCACTGCAGGGCAAAAGTCTCTGCAATATTTAGGCAATTGACCCGGTCCTGTGCTATCTACTGCCATTGTTAAGCCAACCCTGATTTATCCGTATTCATTTCATTCTAAACATGGTAATCTTGAACAAGTATATTGCATGTAAATATAGATAGTCTTGCATTTTCAACGAATGGCTATAGCCGCAATGAAACAGTGAATGTAAATCCGAGTAAGCTAATCCTGAGGCAGTGAGTGTGATTGCGATTATTTAGCTGGTTTTATGACCAGGTACATCAAGATTGAACCAATTTGACTTCGCCCCAATTTAATAGCTTCGGAGTAACCACGGCAACGCCTAGCTGGCGAATTTGTGTGAAGTTATGAACAATAACACAATCACGTCGCTCAGACATTCAATCGCGAAAATAACAATGAGATGAGCGATTTCAGTTAATAAAAGGCTAATATAAATTGACACTAGTGTATCATAGCATAGTCATGTAAGTTATGATGAGCATGACAAGCATGACATGTTCTCGTGTTATTACCAGCTATTTATGTTGATTATGTGCTTCTATTATGTCCTATAAATCTTGGTCGACGTAAAGTTATCCAAACGGCAGGTAAAGCTCCACAACCGTGAGCAAATGTCATGACTACACCATAGCTATGTCATGATTTTCATGTATTTACCACTCATTTATATAATACATGAGCTCTTGTAATCTCATGCTACGTTTGGTGTACATTAGGCTAATCAATCTGCCACTATAGCACGAACGCCTATGCTGCCAGTTAGGTAGGTATACCGATACAAGCGCTTATAATGGTTTGGTCCGTGAATAAATACTTCGCTTTTAATAATGAGTGCTAAATCCATTGGTTATTTATTTGCACGAGCAAGTTCTACCAAATTATGTGAGAAAACGAATGAAATTACCGCGCATTTCACTGAAAGCGATCCATAGCTTCTTCACAGGCAATACCAAGAACCAATATAGCGCCCACAAAGGCATTTCTCTATAATGTTCACCCTGTAACATAGGAGCAAATGGAGTAGCCCTAATTGAATCCTATGCGTGGCGTCTTCATCAGTCGCCATGCGCGGTTGTCTCAGTCGCAAAGCGCTTGTTGTGCTCGGCGGTTGCTTCCTACGGTGCAGCAACCTTTAAATGAGAAGCATTCCTTAGTGAACTTCAGTGACTTTTAGGGTATCTATCTATCTATCTATCTATTTATCTATCTATCTATCTATCTATCTATATCTATCTAGCCGTCTACGAAACTTACCTCTCTGCTTTTTAGATCATGGCATCTACACAAAATTTGATAACACATAACTTGAATGTATGAAAAGCATAAGTGGCTAGTCATAACATGAAAATCATGACGTGTGTGTACTGAATGCCATAATTTACATGTCTGGGTCTTGCTGCTCTTGCGGTAGTTTCACTTACATGACTTGCTGAACTGGTATGGCATGACATGACTTCATGGCAAACATAAGTGACAGACTATAACGTGAAAATTATGACGTGCATGTCATGTAAGTCAAGACTACACGCCGCGCTTATGGTGTGCTCACTGTCGTTTAGCTTCACAGATACCAAATTTGGTATTACAGAAGGTGAATCGGTAACGAAGTCATATTACTCGGTGCAAACATGATAATCATGAGATACGTGTCATCTAAGGACATGACTATATGCCATGCTCATGATGCGCTCACGATCATTTCGCTAGATTCCTATATACCACGTTTGGTATTACGGGATGCAAATACAGGACGAAGATAAATGACACGTCAAAACATGGTAATCATGACATGCATGTCATGTAAGAACATCACTACATGCTACATTCATGATGCGCTCACCACCGTTTCGCTAGCTTCGCATGTACAGAATTTGTATTACGTGACGTGAATGAATGGTGAAGTTAAATGGCTGGTGCAAATATGATAATCATGACGTGCGTATGATGTAAGAACATGAGCACATACCACGCTGATAATGCGCTCGTGGCCGTTTCGCTAGCTTTGCATATACCAAATTTGGTATTACCTGACCTCAATAGATGGCGAAGGTAAATGAGAGATCAAAAAATGATAACTGTGATACCCGTGTGATGTAAAACATGACAGCGTGTTACGCCTATAGTGTGCTCGTGGCCAGTTTTTCTATCTTCGCATATACCAAGTTTGGTATTATGTGACGTGAATGGATGGCGAATGTATATTACTTGTGCAAACATAATAATCTGAATATGCGTGTCATGTAAGAACATGACAACATGCCACACTTAAGATGCGCACGCAGTAGTTTCGACGGCTTCACATATACAAAAAAAATGGTATTACCTGACGTGAACGGACCGCAAAGGCAACAACGACACGACCTAACAGCATATTCATGACATGCTTGCCATGTAAAACTTGACTACATGCTACGCTCATAGCACACTCGTGGCCGTTTCATTAGCTCACATATAATACATTTGACATTGCGTGACGTGAATGGGCGACGAACACAAATGACATGGTGGCACGAACATGATAATCATAATATGGAAGCCATGTATGGCACAATTCACATGTCTACCACTGCTGGGGCTGGTATTGCGAATGATAGGGCTTCGGTCGTTACCTGTCTATAAAGAACACACTTGAATCTTATCCACTTGCGCCTTAGTGCGCATAACATTTCTACTTAGGTTTACTGTGTACTACATTCATGCGCCTCGTAACGATGTGCTGATTTCGAAGTGACATATCGACCTTACTCATTCGAGCTTCCCGTATGATCGGTTCACACTGTACTTCGAATCTGCCATTTTTGAGCAGCACTTTTCAAATCTTTATGAATAAACCGACACGATTGTTCTTAAAAGACAATGGGCAGTGACTCATGACTCGAGACGGGGAGAACGCTGGGTTAAATAATTCTTGACGCTACTCTTCTGCATCTCGCCTCCTTATGCGACCGTACTTCTTATGTCTCCATCAGCCATCGACTACATACAGGACGTCTACATCGAATGGCATGACGTCGCAAGAATGCTATTCTGGTGACTTCTATCATCTGCTCTATAGGGACCCTTCACTCACCAGGGAGGTGTGGGTTGGTTGCGGTTGCTTGCGGGGAGCTTGACCCAAGCTCCCCGACATTGGCTGTTAGTGGCACGCAAGAAACAGACGCACGCCATAGCCCGTGCACCACGGGCACAATACCACCATTCACGCATGGAATAAGACGCGTGCAACGTGTTCCAGTTTTACTAGACCCCATATGAAATGCGTGTGTGAAATGCGTACCAAATGTAGCACTTTGGGAAAGTGATCGAAAGAGACAATTAAAGATATGCCTTCAGTGATTTGCGGTGTTGTGGGCGTCACTTGTTGTGACTGGTATTTCATCGTTCTGGTTGTGGTACTCTGGAGGCTTTGGGTGACAAACAAGCTCTCTGGACCGTATTTCCCTTGTCTTAAAATTTATTAAGAACACAAAGCACTGCGTCTCTTCAGCAAGGTGAAATATGAATCTTAGGTATAGCGCTTTGTTGGTGAATTCCACAATGGTCCTTCTGATTGCAATATCAGGACACGCCCTATCTCGTGTGTTTTCCACTTGATAAATACCGCAACGCTTTGGAGAAAAGTTGGAGCCCCGAGGGTGCTGTTACAATGTAGTGCCAAGCTGCAGTGTAAATTAGCGAAATTTCTTCACCTCTTCTGCAATAGACGAAGAAGCATCGTAGCAAGCTTGATGAATTATTGAAAGATAACTACATGGCTATAATCATCAAGGTTTGTCTATTTTCATAATCAACTAATTTATGGTTACCTACCGCACTTGTGGGAAAGCATTTAGAGAAAGAACGCGCAATAATCGGGACAAAAAATGGCAAGCACTGGGCCATTTATTGTGTTTTCTTTCACTGAGTATGCGTCACACACTTATAACGGGCAAGATCATGTACAATAGGGAGGGGGGGGGGATTCAAAAGTTCTCGTGTATATCTATGCAAGCATGGCCTGGGAACTTTTTGACCAGCACCATACATGATGAATACTAGGGAATGTTCCGGAAATTTGAGGTTCCTTACTTGGGTGTCTCAAATAAATTAGCAATGCAAACATAATTGTTTTGATAAAAACTAAAACACTCGAACAACCCAACACCATTAGCTTTATTTTCATTTACCGTTGACATCAGCAATAGTATCAGCGCAGTGTTTTTTGTATTACCAAAAAACTACCATCCTATTAAACAAAGTCATACTTATTTCTCGGCTCTGATTATCTGCTGACATCGAGAATTGTAAACAAGAAAATGAGGCTCCATTCCTATAATGCGACTGAAAGAAATTTCGACAGCTTGGGCGAGGTCTTTGGCTTATAGAAGAATTTGTGACTCGCAGATCGTAATAGACGACGTTCCCTATAAAAAAAGGCAAATTTAGAAAACTGCCGTGAATGAATCTCACTACCAACAAAACAGTGCACAGCAGGACAAGGAACGAAAAAAAATTGAATGCGCACGACATGCGTCAGAAATGTGGGCTCATATAGGTTTCTTCGTATTGTATTACATTGTTTCACCAAAATACACTTGAGCCGATGCACCCAACACAATGTACTGATTGCAATCGTTCTGGCTTTGTACAATTGTACACAACACACAAAAGGTCTGACAGTGATAAAATTGGCATTGAAGTTTTTTTATGCTACAATTGTCGGAGTTAAACACTGGATAACCACCATATGATTACAGGGGACGCCAAAGTGGAGCCCTTCGGCAATCTGGACCTCCTGAGGTTCTCTAAGCATACTGCTAAAGCATTTTCGCCCCCGTGGGAAACGAGACCCTGATTCAATGCCGAGACTTTCAGACCCGTAGACTAGCACTATCACCGCTAAACCACCTTGTCACCACCTTGGCTACGCCACTTTGTCCGTGTAGTTCTGAGAGTACTCCGAGTACTAGCGGAACTCGCGCCCGCCGCTGTCGAGTTGCTGCCCCGTGAAAAAGCTGGTGGTGGGAACGAGTGCCGCAGCGCCATAGAGTGAGCACCCCGAGTGCCAACGGCGGCTACGACGGACAACGGCGGACAAGGCCACACCCTAAGAAGCTTCTTCCATAAAAACAAACAAAAGTCTACAGCAAGCGCCCGCATCCCCAAGTTGTAAGTCCAAGTGTTACTAAACACCTCTTCCGAGGAAAGTCGAGGCTTCCCCAGGAAAGACTCGACAGGCGCGTCGTTTGCCAGTCCGGTCGTGGCATTAAATCACTCTTTGACATGCCAAGGCCTGGCGACCTTGGTGATGATGACGACGAATAAAAGTTTTTGTTTCTTCAGAAAGAACGCAAGAGATACCCTATACCATCCTAGCCTAAATTCTGTGACAAATATGAGATGCTCCCTTGGCTTTCACACTCACACCACCACTTTCTGTGATTGCACTTTCCCTGTTAAGTGTTACAGCTCACAGAAGAGTTTGTTTAATCATTTATCATGGGCGTGAGGAGCCGTTAAGATAGATATGTGCCATCAAGTGTCACTGTGCCTGAAGCTACGTTAAAGACAAATAGATATTGTGAAAACAATGGTATATGAATGCAGTGTAAAGAACTAACGCGACAGTAATAAAGAGCCCATTTCCGGCATGTGTCAACCTCGGTATCGTTGGTTGTGAGCGAAAAATCATCATCTTATGTGTGACCGAAAAATCGAGAACGATGCAACTAATGTAAATAACGAAATTAAGCATGGCTTAGAGTAGAGATTGAGCCCAGGTCACTTGTGTGGCAAGCGATGTTCTACCACACGACCACGCGTCTGCCTGTGTGTGAATTGAAAATACTCTTCTTTGCTATGAAATGCAGGGAAATTAACACGTTCTTAACTAACACATGAGTCCTGTATATGTGCTTCAGAATACAAAATGAAAATTCATGCTTCACAAAATAACATGAGATATTGCAATGAAAAAGCCTCAGGACTTTGCGGAACGCACAGCACAGCCATAGCGAAAGCTGGAAAAACGCCCTTTCAGAGCCTTTTCCAAACACTCTTTGGGTAACTGCTACATGCACAGTTGCTCGTTACCAACTAAGCCATAAATACTCATACTTTTTTGCAGTAGGCCGCCATTCCCTATTCTATTCTTTCTCACTTTTTGGAGAACCATCATATTCTTTACAAACTTGCTAGAATTTTCGTCCAGTTTTTTAATATAGTGATTGACTACGATGAAGAATTATGCGTGAAGAAGGTATGTGACACATTTTATAGCTGAACAAAAACAAGCTGCTTGTAGTGGGTTGGAGCATTCGGTAACCCATTCGTTATACAATTCGCATTGTGTGATGCCTGATTGCTCATTTATTGTTCTAAAGTGCTTAATTTCTCATATTTTCTTCCCCAACATCAAGCCTGTTCAAATTGAGTTTAGAAACTAGTTTCAAGCACGGGAGTTGCTCAATGGTAGAATACTAGGCTGGCACGCAGCATACCCGAGTGCGAATCTCATTTTTTGGTGTTTTTGTTTATGCAGTTTTTTTCTTTATTTCTTGCAACACTGGTTGCGAACCCCGGTGGCGGCAGTGCCGCACGTGACCTGTGTTTAAATTTCATAAGAGCGTTCGCTGTATTATTGCGTGTTAGAAGCGCTTATTGTGATAGGGCGTCGGGACATGTGATTACCATACGGGCTCCGTCGTTGAAAGCCGCCACACTACTGAAAGCGGCGCACTCGATCCCATAAGGCCACGTAAGTGGGCGCACAGCAATTTGAAAAGGTTTCATGCAACAAGTGTTTGAAATACGCACTAGGAACTGAATATCGCTATCACTTTCAACTCTTAAACACGAAGCTTTAGGGTCCCCTAATTTTCATAGCATGCCCTGCCGTGGTGGTCTAGGGGCTAACGTACTAGGCTGCAGACCAGCAGGTCGTGGAATTGAATCACGGCTACGGTGGCTGCATTTTTGATGAAGGTGAAAATGCTGTAGGCCCGCGTGCTCAGATTTGGATAGACTTGAAAAACCAAAGGAGGTCAAAATTTTCGTAGCCTTCTATTACTGCGTCTTTCATATTCATATGGTGGTGTACGAACGTCAAACGTCACATATCAAACATTGAGTGTTTCAATTACTTCCGTAAGCACAAGTTTTAGTTTCGTGACATCGCGTAGTGTTGCCTAAACATCACCTATACTTTTATTAACCAGGTCTTGTTCTTTTGAAACGTCGGTGGGTAAATCATTGCAGATAATTCACCTATACTTAAAAGACATTCATTTAGTGAAAACACGTACAATCCCGTAGGGACTCGATCTTAAACACGGCGCAGGATAGGTCTGCATCCATGAAAATCATGGTATCGGTGCTTACAAACGAGCCTGAAAAAAGAAACAAATAAGATTATAATTCTAAGGCACATACTAGAGATGTACACTGTCGCAAAATGAAATAATGCTTCTTATTATAACTTTACTTGCGTACTAGTTATTATGTCACGTTACCGGATATACATTGCCTGCACATAGAAGATAAATGGCGATGACTCAGTGTTGACGTTTTTATTATGCTGTTGTCCATTATAAGGCTCTATTGCTTCAGTGTTAAACTCTCTTACCGCAGAAAAGTGTGTTATATAAAAAGTGGCCACCACTCGAGCCTTTTCACGGTGGAGCAGGAACTGGTCCGACTGCTAAAGGGCCTACCACTCTCGCTTTTACTCATTTATTTGTCAGCACTTGTAATAGCCTCCTCCCGAAAACAAAAAAAAAACTCAAGTTTATGGATATGTTGGGTTTAACGTTTTAAAACCACCATGTGATTATGAGAGACGCCGTAGTGGAGGGCTGCAGAAATTTCGACCACCTGGAATTCCAGGTATGCCACACCGTGCACCCAAATCTGAGCACACGGGCCTACACCATTTCCGCCTACATTGAAAATGCAGCCGCCACAGCCGGCATTCGAAGCCGCGACTTGCGGGTCAGCAGCAGAGTACCTTAGCAAATAGACCACCGCAGCGGGCAATGAAAACTCAAGCTTGGTACCAAATTTTTCAAAAAAAAAAACTGTATTTATTTGTGCTGTTTTTCATATCTACTCTGCATCGTGTACTGCCGATGACGTTTAATGCTTTACACATAAAAATTAGTAAAGTATGACTAGAAAGTGTTCTTTTTCTAATTTTGTTTTGGCCAAAATGTACGTATTTATGTGGTTTAGATGTGAAGTACATGTATTCCTCTTGTGGAAGCACGGGTGTGCAGCCAACGACACTCGCTTTCGAAGCATCAATGCATGTTTTAAACTGACAGAATTGGCAAGGAGAATTTTGTTATTCTATCTCGGATAAAGACATTACGCGCTCTGACCAGCCATTTGTGGTGCTGAAAGCAGTGCACTAGCTTGGCCGCTGGTCCCTACGGAAGTGTCCGCTTTTTATGCATGTTTTATGCTCTTACAGTTGATTAGGCAAGTTTACTTCTTAAAAAAAATTGAATAAACAGGCGTAGCCTATATGTATATAGCTGTTGAATACCATATTTTCATACAGGATTACAATAACTGATTGTTGTTCATACATTCACGCGTACCTCCCCTATATCAAAGCGAAGCAGCGTCCCTGGACGAGAAGCTTAAATAACAGTTGAAGATATCCCCGCACGAGAGAATAACGCCACATATAAAGGAACATGATTGGAAGCAAATACATAATGCATACGATCAGATGGTGTTGCTGCTCTTTCGTTACAATGTGCACATGGTGGTGCAACAAACATGAACTAGAATTGTCGAAGTAGGAGAAGTTGAATACTGGAGCATGGATTTCACAATGAGGTACATTGTATGTAGTGGCAGACACCACAAACAGACACGACACCTCAATGCGGTGTTACCTAATTAAATTACTTTGATATTTCTAGGCAGTGAAGACAAGCGGCTGACTTATTGAGATATTTAGCCTCCTTGACACCTAGAAATTCGATAAAGCGGTTTGGAATACTAACTGCACAGTAATCAAATTTAACCACACATCCAGGAGAAACGCAAGCACGCATCAGTGCAACAAACGACCAGAGTATGGTAACTGCTTGCGATATCAATGTCACTCGCATCAGTTATTCCGCATTCGCAGACAATTATGTGTAATCCGTGCTCTAAGGCTACCACAGCCCGCACACACATTAAGTGAAGTTGTTCGATGGTTTATGTTGTGACACTCGTTCATTTTAGATGTCTCGAAAGAAGGTGAAAATTGTTATCAGCCTCGCACTCGTTTCTGTTTGAGTGGTGAAACTTATCAGACTCCATCAATGTGCTAAATCAACCAGCGTCCGTGTTTCAAAAATATGAAAGCAACAGTGGACTCCACATAAAAAGGGCTATAGCTCGACCATTTCACTCGACCACCCATCTTGACTAATTTGATATAAAGCAACTTTATTCTATACTACTGTCCCAAACGATAGGTCCAGCAATAATTAGGCACCGCCGCGGTGGTCTAGTGGCTAAGGTACTGGGCTGCTGACCCGCGGGTCGGGGGAATAGAATTCCGGCTGTGGCGGCTGCATTTCCCATGAAGGCGGAAATGTTGTAGGCCCGTGTGCTTAGATTTGGGTGCACGTTAAAGAACCCCAGGTGGTCGAATCTACCGAAGTCCTTCATTACGGCGTCTCTCATAATCATATGGTGGTTTCCGGACGTGAAACCCCACGTATCAATCGCTTCATTAATAATTAAAAGTGAGGCAGCGCAGCAAAAGTGATTATGAAGGCATGGAACAAGTATTGAATTTTTTTTTACTTTGTAAGATTTTCATATGCATTTCTCGCTAAACACAGTAATACTCACAGAAAGCTACAAACATGAAAGGCAAGCCTTTATGAACAAGAATCCTTTGAATTGTACATGATTGAAGCTTTGTGTCATAGTGTATACGTTCAGCACACAATCGTACCAACTCGACCGAGAACAACTTGTTGAGTAGGACGCATTTCTTGAAACACCCTATATAGAGCAATGAAGAAAATTACATCAGGCTCGCATTTTGTGTCACATAACGTTAATAAAAACTATATTTGATGAAGCCAAAGAAATATACGTCAGTACATCTGTTAAAAATGTTTTCTAGTAAATGTATTACAGGTTTGAAGAACGTGAAGCGCGCAAAACCTGCAGCTCAACTTGCAGTAGCCAGACTATACGCCCAACTCTCACACAAATTCTGCATTGGCAGTGGTCACGCATACGCTGTAAATGTTCTTCAGCGTCATCCACAGCTATCACAGTGAGTGTGGAACATTCTATATCTGCTAGTTGGCATCATGCAGCAGATGATATTTTTCAAGGAGTGAGCAGCTGACCAATAGGTCCTCCCAAAACACCTGAAAAAATTATGTCTGCGGAACTATAGAGCATTGCTACTCTTGAAGCAAGGGACTTGACGAATTAAACTGATCCTGGTCGCAATCCGGCTACATGCCTGTTAGTGATTTCAGGAGCTGGCTCAACAGGTTCTTAAGCTAAAGTTAGGTCCTGCGCTGAAACCTTTGTTAAAGAGGCGACCGATAGAGGCGCAGCTGTTTCTCTCATTTCAAGAATACTCCCTGAATTACACACTGAAGTGCTTGCTTTTGTCGCACTTTTTTTCTCTTCTCAATCATCATTAACTTCGTCGATATGCCGTGATTTAATTTTTAGAAGCGGCAGTAGTACAGAAGTTGGGTATAAAAATAAGCATCTCAGATTATACAAACATGGCAATACACGGTGCATGTGGCACATATGTCATCTTTTAAATATATTGTGGATATATTTAAGGGCTGGAGCTTCAGCAAAATATAATTTTACAACCAATTCCAAACCGCGTAATGCCGTAAGCGGTGGTCAAGGTTAACGAGTACTTTATCATGCACTGATAAAAAAGAACAAGGTAATAAGGCCATATTTTCAGGCGGTCGCATCGTGCAGGTTTATTTCAGTCTTCTTACAGTTTTGAATTAGTGCATATGAATTCCTACCTTTGTAAAAGAGGGTCATCCGCTTCTTGTGTTGGCTATCAAACACTCCCAGTATCCGCAGGTTACGGCTGCGAGCGATAACAATACCAGGCTAGCAAAATGAATCCAACTTGAGCACAGAAACTCACCTTGTTCTCATAATTGAGGATGATCTTACGAAATCAATGGACAGTGGACGAATTGATTTCATTTGATCTGCCTCGCATTTAACAAATGCTCTATTAGTTGTTCTCACGGTCCATATTTTCTGAGAAGTGTTAACGAACTGAAAGAAAGCAACACTTCAAAAAAATATACAAGACACTTTTTATGAGCTAGAGCAAGGTCACACTAATAAGATAACTTTGCAAACAGCAGGTGCAAGTTATTGTTATGGTATGCGAAACAAGAGCACTGCTGAAATAGTTGTTTCCGCTATTACGAAAGCAAACGAAATTTGGGACAAGTACTTAATAGTTAATATCGTTTTGGTTTCCTCTATCTAGCTCGCGACGTTTACAAACGCAGTGCCATAGCGGGCATCATACTGAACCGGGCAATTAAAAAAGTATTCAGTTGAACACAGGTCTGATAATGAACATCTTCTATCTATTTATCTATATCTATTCATCTACCTATGTATAACACGCTATAATAAACTGCTTCACTGACATTCTTCATGTTCTCATATCCGTGGAAATTTCATTGCCTTGAGACTTCTAACTTTTCTTCATCATCATCAATCTGACAGCGAACATTATTAAAAAATGAAGCCACCATAGCAAACGAAAGAAGGCACAATTTTGCCGCAAATGCAAGGCAATGAACGCGATAGCAAATCATGGCAAGGTCACGCGTAAAATGGCCAGCAGATCTAAACATGCCCCACGTTTTGCACGCACAAATGACGCACGCACAAATGCCGCCACTGCCACCACCGTTAGGGGACGGCGTCAAGGCTTCCTCGGCGGCTGCAGTACACGTTACCGGTACCATTTCACAAGGGACGCCGTCCACGCGTCCTTGGCTATGGATTCTGTCGTAAGCGCAAGCCGACAAGTGAACCCTCTGCGGGAAGCCACCGGTACGTGTCGTCGTGGTTTGTCGGCAGTGCGGGCTTCTCCATCAAGGAACGCCGTTAACGCTTCCTTAGCGATGGGGTCCCACCCACCGCATCAGCCACCCTTCAGACCACCTGTGGACGGCGTCCAGGCCTCCCTTGTGGTTCTAAGACATGAGCTGATTGAAACCCTGCCACCGTTTCACGGCAGGGATCCACACCGGCTCCTGTCCCTTGGGAATTCCGATCATGTTTCCCATGGCCTACATTCCCGTTGCGGTACTCTTTCAACAAACGAGCTGCCACGGAACGCCGTTCAGGCTTCCCTGCTCGTCGACCACACCGGGGTGAGTGCTGCATTTGCTACTTACTCAAAGACCACGATCACTGACTCTTCATACTTAATGCCCGACAGCACCACGGACCTGCGGCGTACCATTGCGCTAATCCGCGTTGATCGCCGAGCGAGCTCCTACAATGTTGCCAGCACTGTGTGACATTAACGCAGCGTTGGATGTAGCTGCCTCATACGACCTTGAGGCAAGCACACCGGAGCAACGCAGGCAGCTTCGGTCTTCTCTCATCGAGCTCTCACACCAGCTCGACTGTTCGCGTCGGTGATCTTTGCATTGCCACCTGCCACCTCACAACCATCAGCCGTCTGCAAACTACCGGAATTCCACGGGGTCCAGAACGACGCCGACAGTTGAATGGGAACCATCAACGCGATAGCAATGCGCGAGGCCTGGACAGAAAATCAGAAATGGTATGTGGCCACAGACCTTCGGGAAGGTGCAGCGGCGTGGCACCGGTATGAAGGCTGGAAGCAGCGGTCATGGGCGGAGAAAGCTGCAAGCTCATAGCTGCTTTCGGTCGTAATCCTTACCACCTCTCCAGCTGCAGCTTACCACACGAGAAGTTAGAAACTTTGTCGATACCAGAAGGAAGTTCACTGCGGCCAGAGGCTGTTACCGAAGTCGGATGTCTTGAAGAGCGGTGCTCCAACGAAAATGCCGCAGAGAATCATCTCGACTGTGCGCATTGCCCTCCATCGACGCAACCCCATTCGCACACCGAGCTGAAGTGGAGCAACACCTCGAAGGTTCCTCGCAGCCCTCCAGCCGCGCGGCAGTAAGCTTCTCCGCCTGTCCTACGAATGACGTCAGACGCAGGTGCGACACGCCACTACTGCTCTCAGTACCCGCGCCGGTACGCGATATTATCATGTCAGTGGAAGAGGCTGATACGAGTCCTTATACAGCTCAGTTAGGGAAGCCAGCCCCAATATCACCTTTACTGAGGCAAGTGGAGACACCAGCATCGCCTATGCTTGAACCGCCTACGGTGATGGCGCCGGTAGAGACCAAGGTACCTAGCGCGTCTTTTGGGATACTCTTTCGGCTACCCTCGTCCGCAGTTCAACGTCTGCTGCTGATTTTGCGGCACGTCCGAAGCGCGCTGTAAGGTGCATGTTTAGCTGCTTCCCACAGAGAGTTTCTCCATGGCCGAGACCGACCACAACGATGCAGCCAGTCTCGACCTCCCGATAGACTTGTGGAAGGCTCTGGCACCCAGTTTCAGCGTGGCCAAGGCCGACCTCCGAGATACAGCCACTATATTGACCGCCAGATCTACCTTTGGCAGATACCGGGACCAAATCGCGGCCGAGAGCGTCGGCCGCATCGGGGCAGCCAGTGCCGGCCGCCTGAGTCCACAGCACTTTTTCAAGGCACATCGTGGCGTGCAAAAGAGCGACCAGCTCGAGGCAGCCAGTGCCGTCCACCAGAGACGCTTCCCCCAGACCGTCGCTCCATGTTGCATTGTGGCCCGGGCTGACCACCACGATGCAGCCAAGCCCGCCCACCAGAAACTTTGCCGCCAGCTCTGCGCGCGCGCCGTCATGGCCGAGTGTCATGACCAAGAAAGACGCTGGCGCGTCGGCGCACGGGTAGCTAGAGCAAAGAAGAGAAGAACGTAGTCAGAATAAGAAGAGCTGGCCCAGGATCGGGTGTTGTCTCTTGTTCTCTGTCTAGTACATTACAATATATATATATATATATATATATATATATATATATATATATATATATATATATATATATATTCAGTGAGTGACGCCGGCGGCAAAAAATATGCAGCCGAGCGTGTCCATACAATTGCTATTGCAATGAACCGTGCGAGTTTTATTGACAAAAAGGAGCGGATCTGTCTCAGTTTTTTTTTTTGCGTCCAACTGAGGGTCTTGAGAAGACGGGCCTAGGCAATGCATTGCCCAGCATAACCATACCCACAAAAAAAACAAGACAGGTTGTTCAAAGCTAGTTTTTCTCGCTGCGGCTTCCTGATGTCGCAACATGTCCTGAGCTTTTCGTCAAATGCACGCGCAGGACGTTTCCACTGCGGCTCTGCACCGTCGCTTCGTTCGGGATGCGTGTGATCTGCCATTTATGAAATTTTCTTACCAGAAATCCTCAGACCGATGCAACCAGCTGCGCGAAGTCACCATAATCAGTACTGTAGTTTGATGTCAAGCTAGAGTCGATGTCAGTGGGTGCGCAATGAACGTCAGACTCTGCTCAGGTGACACTGGAAAAACGTCCCCATAAAATCCCTATATTCCGAAACCGTTTACATGCATACGCAAGCAATCTATCTTACGGCACGTGGTACAAAGCTTGCTTTATACGGCATGAATGGCCACAGCGATTTTCGCCTTTGCAGTTGCACTCTACACCCTTCTCTCACTTTCAGTGCGTTGAACTGTTTTCTTACGCATCCTAGAATGTTCTCTTGATGGTGGTATTCCGTACTGGAAAGCAAAATACATGTTCGTCCACTTTATCGATGTACAACGAAAGACGAAACCTAGGTTACCGGAATGGTTTTGGAAATAACGGGTACAAACGCAATTATGGCTCATGTACAGCCATATTTTCGGCTCACACACAATGTCTCACTTTGCTTTAAAATACACTGAAAGAATAGCTGACCTGTTTGATATCCACGCAAGAAGTATGAATGATAATACGGGCTGTAATAAGGACGAATATGGCTAAAAGTACTTCTGCTTTCATGCCGCTTTAGTTTGCTGTTCTTATTACTTGCGCTAACAATATGTGAATGACATCCTGGCCGGCAGTGCATTGAGCGCGAGTTGCGGCCGCACTGCTTCTTGTCTGTTATGCTGTATTTCCACGCAGATCTGTGGCATTGTTTCGGTCTCACCGCTCTCTTCATCGGCATTGATTCAATTTGACCGTTTTATTTGCTTTGCTATGCCTCGGCGACAGTGCAGTGGTCAAGGAAGTTCAAACATGTGTGCTTCGGAAATTCAATTGTTCGAGAAACATATGGAAACGCGCTAGCGAAGATTCGACGAAGAGGAGGAAGAGACTCGACTGGCTCGCGAGCGACGCTGTGGATCCTTGGCTGAGCTACACCTCTGCATTACCCATATTGTAAATAAACGCGTTTCATCGTCACAATTGTGGTGGAAGGTGCTGGGTAAGCTAGCTACTACCAAGTGATACCGGAGAGGCACCATCCCCTAACGACGGAACCGCTACACGATCTTCGCCGCAGCCGTCGACAAGCGGGCTTGGCACCATTATCTCAAGAAATGAGCTCGGACGGAGACAACCAGCAACCAGCCGCAAGGACGTCGCCCTACCACTACAGGGAGCCGCGAACCTTCACAGGGAAACCCGGCGATGACGTGGACGAATGGCTAAACCACTATCAGCGGGTGAGCCGTTCGAACGGTTGGAATGCGGCTAGCCAGCTGTCTCACGTGGGGCTCTTCCTCGATTTCACGTCGCTGGTATGGTTTGAGAATCATGAAGACACATTGACAACCTGGGACCACTTTGTGGAGGAAGTTAAGAAATGCTTTGCAGACCCAGCAACGAAGAAGAAACGTGCCGAGCAGACGTTGTCGCAGAGGGCTCAAATCACCGGTGAGACATGCAGAACCTACATTGAAGAGATTTTGAAGTTGTGCAAGTCGGTGGTTGCCCACATGACGGAAGAAGACAAAGTGGGCCATATACTCCAGGGCATCGCCGATAACGTCTACCACTTCCTCATTGGCAAGGAGAGCCTGGAATGCGTGGCCGACGTGGTTAACCACTGCCGAACCTTCGAGGCTCTTAAAACTTGTCGCATCACATCGAAGTTCAGACGTCTGGCCAACGTCACGACTGTTGCCACCGTCGATGTCTGCCAGAATTCTCTACCTGCCGACCTTTCCTTCACCATTTGTCAGATTGTACGGGAGGAACTGCGTCGCCATGTCTCTGTTCCCATGCAAGCTGGAGACCCGCAGTGTGATACACTATCCCCAAGCATCAATGCTGCGAGTTTCGACGAGCGCAGTTACTCCACCCGCAGTCCACGGCTGAGGGCTCCGCCACCACAGGCTACTTACGTCGAGTCGTCTTATGCGCCCCGCAGCAGTTATAGCTACGACAGCCAACCGCCTCCGTTTATGTCCGAGTGGCAACAGTTCTCTGAGCATCCTCTCCACACCGCAGCATTCAATGTGCCTCGGGAACGCCCCGTGTGCTACCAGTGCGGTGTTCGCGGACATATCGCCCGGTTTTGCCCATCGCGACGTCGCCCACGCACGACGTTTTTTAACCGACCAGCGATGCTTGCAAGGCGAAGTCAACAGCCCGATTACGCCTACTGGCCTTCGGATTCAACTGCCCAGAAGCACGGGCACCGGCCAAACATCCGCAGTGACTCGCCTGCCTCTGTGAGGAGCTTGACGCCACCTACCACGCGCCAGCGACGGTCCCCATCTCCCCGTCCCCGGCCGCGGCTTTCCTCTCCGCCACCGGGAAACTAGCCGGCGCGGCCGATGGAGGCGAGGTTGCTGGACGTACCGCTTTGCACACAAGTATGCCTCCATTAGTTCACATGCTTCACAACAAGGTTCATGTATTCATTGACGATGTTCCCACGATGGCTCTGGTAGACACCGGTGCAACAGTTTCTGTAATGACTTTAGCTTTCAAGGAGAGACTTGGCCGCAAGGTTATGTTTTATTGGGATAAATCTTCTACATTTCGAGCAGTCAGCGGCACGGCTTTGTGTCCAGTAGGTGTGTGCACTGTGTCTGTTCGTGTTGCTGGTAAAGCGTTCAAGGCAGAATTTGCAGTGCTCGCTCATTCTTCGCATGACGTTATCCTTGGAATTGACTTCTGGCAAGAGTACCGTGCGACTGTCGACTGCGGGGCAGGCGAGGTTCTGTTGTCCGCCCTCGCCCAGCAGCCTCAGCGTAGCGGAGACGACAAACTCGTTGTAGTTAAAGACGCTATTCTACCGGCATGGTCTACTGCCAGCGTGCCCGTTGCTGCTTCGAATGCCGACTCGAGTTTCAGTTCTCCTGATATTGTGATTGAGCCGTTGCCTTTGCCTTGCATGAAGAAAAACATCTTTCTGCCGCGCTGCGTTGTGTCTCTCACCAAGGGAAAAACTAAATTATGGGTAGTTAACTGCTCATCCGAGTCTGTTGTACTACCAGAGGGAATGCGCCTTGCCATGTTTGAAGGGCAGTGCAGTATCTGCATAGGAGCTCTCAGCAATGCGGCTAATTCGGACTATGCTGATGTATCCGGCACGGAATACGAATTTTATAAGATGGTCAGCAAGTCTATTCCCTCGCATAAGTGCAAAGTGTTGGTTACACTGCTGGCCAGGCACGCTAAAGTATTTGATTTTGCACGGAAGTCGCATAGTCCTCAGACGCCCAGCACACGCACTCGTCACAAGATTGACACCGGATCTGCGCATCCCCTCAGACAGAAACCTTATCGAGTTTCCGCGTCAGAGAGCAAGGTAATTTCAGAGCAAATCAGCGAGATGCTAACCTCTGGCGTAATTCAAGAATCGTCAAGTCCCTGGGCCGCGCCTGTTATCTTGGTCAAGAAAAAAATGGGTCCTGGAGGTTCTGCGTTGACTACCGACGTCTCAACTCTATAACTAAGAAGGACGTGTACCCGCTTCCTCGCATCGATGACGTCATCGACTGCCCGCATTCAGCGTCCTATTTTTCATCGGTGGACTTGCGATCCGGGTATTGACAGATCACCATGGGATCCGGCTGACAAAGAAAAGACGGCCTTTGTTACACCCGACGGTCTGTTTGAGTTTAATGTTATGCCATTCGGCTTGTGTAATGCCCCCGCCACATTTGAAAGATATATGGACACCGTTTTACGGGGCGCCAAATGGGAAATTTGCCTGTGTTACCTGGACGATGTGGTGATTTTTGGCCGAACATTTGAAGAACATAATCATCGCCTGGACCTTGTTCTAACCTGTCTCGAGGAAGCTGCGCTTACACTAAACTAAAAAAAATGTCGCTTTGGAGAACGTGAAACCTTGGTTCTGGGACACCTGGTGGATAAAACTGGCGTGAGACCAGACCCGCAGAAAGTCGCCGCTGTCAGCAACTTCAAGCAGCCGCAGTCCCCCAGTGAGTTGCGTAGCTTCCTGGGCTTGTGTTCTTACTTTCGTCGATTTATTCCGAATTTCGCCGATAAAGCACAACCACTGACTGACTTGCTGCAAAAGGATGGCCCTTTCCACTGGACACCGGATTTCGAAGCAGCCTTTAAGCAGCTTCGGTTCATACTGACTTCAGAACCGGTACTACGCCATTTCGATAATTCTGCTGAAACGGAAATTCACACAGATGCCAGTGGAATCGGCCTTGGTGCAGTGCTCGTTCAGCGCCATGACAATGCTGAACACGTGGTCGCTTACGCGAGTCGTTCTTTGAGCAAGGCAGAACGAAATTACACAGTCACAGAACAGGAGTGCCTCGCAGTTGTTTTCGCCGTTCACAAGTTTCGCCCATACATCTACGGCCGTCGCTTCTCGATAATCACCGACCATCATTCTCTATGCTGGTTGGTAGGCCTCCGAGACCCATCTGGACGACTGGCGCGATGGGCTTTGCGCTTACAGGAGTTCGACTTCACAGTACGCTACAAGAGCGGTAACCGGCACGCAGACGCCGACTGCCTATCCTGCCTTCCTCTACCGACGACGGAGTGCGACGCTGACAACTTCGACCAGTATATCGGCGCTATTGCCTTTGAGTTCCCTGATCTCGCGACTTTCCGGACAGCCCAACAAGAGGACCGCTCCTTAGATTCTCTGTTCGCCTCCGCAAATGAACACGCAAACCCAAGCTCTTTTGTGGTTCATGACGGCGTCCTTTACAAGAAGAATTATTCTGGACAAGGCGCCCATCTGCTTCTAGTTGTTCCACGCACTTTACGGGCTCACGTCTTTCGGTCCTTACACGACGACGCAACCTGCGGCCACATGGGCTTCGCCAGAACGCTTCAACGAATCCAGCAAAGGTTCTATTGGCCCAAGATGCGACACGACACGGAAAAATACGTTGCTGGATGCGACAATGCCAACGACACAAACGTCCCACGGCTACGCCGCCAGAACTTCTCCATTATATATATATATATTATATATTTATATATCCTGACGATACCACTATATTTATTTCGCGCAATAGCATGAATGCTATAATAACCCTACTCAAATGTGACCTGAGCAACTTATCTGTGTTGTGCAAAAAAACACTTCATATCAATGCGTCTATAACATAGATTATGCTTTTTCATACAAATAAACATGCATTCCCGTCTGCACACCCACTCATCCATAATGATCATGTTTTTTCACCTGCACACGAAATCATCTTTCTTGATGTCAAGCGTGATGGTCATCTTAAGTTTAGCCTCCTTGAACAAATTATTATTATTATTCAATTATACTCTATTATTCCACCACGCATCCTGAACAGGCTTCCATTTATGTTCCTCTTTCTATCACTTTTTTCATATCCAATGCGTTGTATTTTGAAATGTTGCCGATTTTAACCGTTATATTACGTTTGTTTCTTAGTTCTGTATGAGCAGATGTTTGTCATCTCACTTTTTTCTTGTACGTGTGCGCGTAAACCACTACAATTGTGTAAGTACTGGCGTTTTACTTTGATGCACTAGTTTTTGATGGTGTAGCTCTACGTGACGTGTTTCCTTTCCTATTGTATTTTCATATTTGTTTCCTTTTTTGTATCACCCACCCCTGCCTAAGGCCTCATGTGTTAGGCTGGCAGTACTTCTGGAATAAATAAATAAATAAA